AGCAAATGAGCAAACTAAAAGTATTTCTTCCAGTGACTACGGTGACAATATCGAAAGCAAAATCGAACATCGCCTTCACGAGTTATGACCAAAATTTCAATTTGAATCGAATCTGAACGAGAACTGTCCGATTCTATTTTATCCTGAATTCAAAAATGACCAAGCTATCGATGATTTTTTAAATCTGTCAAAGCCATTGACATTGTCGATTAGTCAGGCTATCACTGTCGTGACTTCTCGTTACCATACGGTGGAAAGAAATCGTCGATAGTTAATAGTTATTATCGAATTTATGAGGGAAGTTTGTGAAACAGCTCTTGAAGAGAATTAAAATTCATATTGTATAGGAATGATGTGTATCATGAGGTGTGTCTCATTGCAAAAAATAATCAACTATCTGACATAACTCGTGAATGCGATATTAGATTCGTGTTTCGTTTTCAACATCGGTATCAGTTAAAAAAATAGAACTACATGGTTCGTCCAGTTAACGGACTTTGTAGCTTCAATAATAACCAAGTTAGCAATAGTGCAGACTTTAGTTTGTCAATCCTGTATACTTGACAATCTCTCATTAATGATTTCTCCATCTTCATGTCCAAACGTTCGATGCTGGGTTAAAATCCGATAATCTTTCAATATACCTCGAGACTTATTGTGAGAACATTTTACAAAACAAGACTCGATTGCATTCTCATTTTTGTCTTTCTAATAGAATGATATTATGATGTCCACACGCAGTAACAATGTGGAAATTATCTTCTAGTTAGTTCTTACTGCTTCACGTATATCGAAATATGATTCTCATATTTTCATTCATAGCAACGGGGAGAGTAAAGTCATATGATAACTCCACCAACTCGATTATACAGAGTATTCACGAATTTCACATAGAATAAATACAAAGGGAAGCCAGAGGGAAATGAACGAAGAAAACTATTTTGTAATTGAATGTCAGTTGAAATCAAGCAATTGGGATGAAAACGTACGTGTTTTCGTAGAGAAATCATTCGATTCATCATAAAAAGAAAGTGTCTTCATTGGTTAATTATATTTTAATGATTATATCATTCGATGATACGAGAGTAAAAACTGTTATATATATATTAGTTATATAGATGACCGCTGGGGAATGTGAGAAGCAGGACAAGAAAATCAGTTTCAAACTAAACATAATACTGTATCAATTCCTTTTAATCTCTGGTAGAAGTCCATGTTTGCTCAAAGTGGAGTGGAATTTTTAAAGGAGGAAGGAAAGCTCAAAGTCATCTCCACAACTTCAATATGAAGTGTTTATTCAACGGGACATGTTTCGAACTTATAAAAGTACATCTTCAGCTGTATTTGAGAAATTACTAAAAGAAAAGACATGTGAAAATATACAAAATGTTATAAAAAAAATTTGTTTGACTTACTTACCATGTATCACCTCCATGTGACAAAAACAACAACAACAACAACAACAAAGTATCAATTTTCCGCTTCCGCCTGGTATTTGCACATTTTATTACTTTGATTGAGAATGAAACAAATATATTCAAATGTTTTAGTTTGTTTATCGTTATATTTTGAGGAACCCTGTGAATCTCAAGAAAGAATATCATGTGAATAGGATTATTGAAATCATCAGGATGTTTTTAATTCCGAGACCACCTAACAGTTGATCAGTCATAATGCCAAGGCCAGTTGGTAATAATTATCATAGCTACTCATTATACAGTCCGACAAATCAACGCAATGAGAAGCATGCATAATATTTTCATCAGGAGAATCCGGTGGTAAATGCATCTTTCCATGACTAGCCAGTGACCAGGTTTTCACACATTCTTCAGTTCTCCTATTCATTACATAACTCATGTTTTTACTGATAAACTTCGATATCCCTTTCAATTTGCAGACTTAGTATTTGTAGGAACTCAATGGAATGCAATTAGTACTTCACTTTTATTCACTCTTCTCTCAGGAAATTGATCATATCAGATTATATCATCCCGGATTTCATGATGAACAGTGTTCTTTAGTGTTCTTTGAAGAACCGACCTGACGAATCACAAAATGTTTGGGTCAGTGTGTAACCAGATACGAGTTCTAGTCACAAAATGGTCATCTGATGTATTCTCCTTGCTGGCTATGAGATTAAAGAAAAAATCCAGAATGTTTACGTGAACAGATTTTTTTATGATAGCATTCTTTCAAGTGTACTTCATGAGCTGTGTATTTCCTCGGCGGATAATAGAGACATCCCAAACAACATTTATTTCAACAACACTGCATTAATTCGATCACTTCATATGGGATCGAATGAGGAATCGAATTTTCATGAGATTTTATGGAATTTCTTGGGAATCGGAATAAGATGAGGAAACTAAAGGATTTGGAGAATGATTATTCAAAGAAGGAGTCAGCAGTCAAACCGCCAGTCGTCACAACTGTTCGTTTCTTTCCTCCATGACTCTCAGGTACCCATAGTTATAAATATTCCTCTGTATAATCAGTATATGAAGTTGACTCTTGATCACGAAAGAATATCCTAAAACAGTATGAACTATTGCCAGTCCTATATAGTAGCGCCATTGACAGGCAGACAAATTGTGTGTGACTGGACAATTTTATAATTATTATTGTATATTATCAATATATTATACCTCTTGTCTACTACCTTACTGACTAGCAAACTAGCTGCTCCACTTGGATCGACAATGTCATAACAATGATTACAAATATCGATTTTTGGTGATGATCCCCAAATCGATATCATTTGGAGATGTCATGTAGCGATATAACGAATATACTTCACTTGGATTTGTAATCGATTAAATAACATTGCATGATTCTGTCAAAAATAGTACAATTATGAAACTCTGTTAGTTCTGGATGCTCATTCATTAAGGATTGAGGACGATAATTATATTGAGTAGATTTTTGGAGAGCTCTTAGAGAGGTCTCATCGATATGAATGAGATATATATCAAAAACTTTTACCTACATGTCTTGCTGCTCCCTGTATTTTTCCTCAGATAGTGAGAATGTATCTTTTTCTGCAATAAGTGGACTATCACATGTGAGCTAGTTTTGAATTTCTTTATTTGCTCTCAAGAAAATCAGAGCTATATCATAGGGGGTGGCAGTTTTCAACGTCTCACCCGGTACCTACATACACCAATGATATAATTCTGAAATCAGGATATGACGGTTGACCAGATGAAACTTTCGTGAAATGTTGAAGGCTAACAATTGACAAGTTCGAATTCATCTCATTTATTTTGAAATAGGTACCTACTTCAGAATCCGTTTCACTGGTATTGATGAGATTTCAGTCAATGAGTTTTTCAAGGTGACGAATGCTATTTTTGACTCATTCCACGAGAGACATGTTTCTAATATAAATGTTTCCATAATGATAGAAGCAATATTTGACCGCATGAGCTAGAGAATATTATACATTGACGAAAAAGATGAATTCAACCGATTTCAATGAATTGATGAAACATAATTGAAGAACACATTTCAAACGATCGTTCATGAATTGAATATTCACAACAGTTGCGGGCTATCCTCTCTCCTCTCCTTTTCTCTAAACAAGTGAAAAATCCACGTTCTTATGTATTGGAACATTTACCGAAACGATCATAAGATAATGTGCTTGAAATTGTTATTATACATGTATCTACCTACTTGATTTTTTTGTGTCAATGAAGCAGTGGCGGATATAGGGTACAAGGCTAATCCTAATAAGAGATCGAATCAGTTCGAGAATCTGAACCATTATACCACGATTCATTCCACTTCGATCTTTTCTAGTAGGTACACGTACCTTCCTGAATTGAATAAATGAAATTTCTTTGAACCCATCTTTGAAAAATTCAGAATTCTGCAATTCATTTTGATGAAATGTATCAAAATATGAATATGCTCATAAGTGTTAAGCAAAGTGAACATGATTTTCAAATGCATTCGACCTTGAATCAGAAATATATATACATCATGCTGGTTTGTGGTGGATGGGTCATTAGACGTTTCTGGTGAACCAGACAAAATGTATGGTAGGTATAGACACATTTTTTGACATAACGATTCTAGCTATGGCGGTGAATAACAATCCTGAATAAACACGGTGGATCTTATTGTTCCTCCAATTGAAATGAGAATCAGGATAATTGAAATATGTTGATATTTTATATCCTTTGTCGGGACAACGTACATACTCCCAGGGACATCCGCTGGCCGCCAAACGCCGCCAAAGAAAGCATCCAAGGGATGTCCTTCTGGTACGTCCCTGGGATGAACCAATGGCTCCAACGGCTATCATGTCTCCTGAAGATGTATGTACTGAACAGATTTATAAAGAGGACTCAACTACAGGAACCTGAATAAATACAACATTTTTAGGATGTGGGATGTGGGTATATGATTATTATCATTCTTGGGTGTTTAAAAATGAGGAGCATTATGCATATACGATTTCTGTTTGGGAAGAATGGTCATTTTTTCAGAAGTTCTGAGACTTTATTCTTTAAGTTCATTACAATTATTATTTTCCGGAAGAAAAAAAACATTTTCAAAAAAATTCAACTCAATAATTTGATGAAACTCAATGACTCTGATGTGAATGGATATCAGATATTCCAGGGACACGAATATGATGACCTAGGAATGTACCAGGCGGGATGTCCACAGGACAACCACTGCGGGACATCCCCTGGATGCCCCAATCATGTCCTTGTACCGCGGGACAAAAAAGGGACGTACCTAGGGCATCCCTGTGTTGTTGGGGGATGAAACACCCCTTGATTTTTTTGGTGTCATTCAGATACACCCTGTATAGTGCTGGGCCTTCTCGATAGATAACCCTGTACTCATGATATAGCTAAGCTATCAGGAATCTTCCTACCTATACATATCGAAGTATTTTATGCCGTGTTCTCGAATAGAACAAAAACCTATAGTTTCCAGAATAAAATAATGAGTCATCCACAATCGTATACAGAATAGCAACTCACCGCAAACACTGCCGCGAGAAGTCCGTTCAACACACCCAAAAATCCAGATCCACACCCCATTTTGATTTCAAAACAGTTAACCGTGACACAAACACACACCAAAAACAGACTTGAAATAATTTTTACTATTATCAAATATTAAAATTTCATTGGTTACTGCCTCCTAGCCAATTTAGTAGATGGACGTTGCATTAGTGTTGATATTCTATCGGTCCACTTCGCATCTCGACCATTTTATTTATAAACATTACGTTATGTAACAGGAGCGAAAACGCGCGCGAGATCAGAGAATGATGATTTTCTAGATACAGCATGTCGGCGCCGTTTATAAAGCGAATTCATACAGGATGATACATCGAACAGCGAACTATATAATATGTGTTTGTTGCATGATATCTTCTTCCAGATAATCTTTGTAAAGAGTGTTCACCTAATAAAAAGTGTATAATTTATACAAGGTGGCCCATCGAGAATGTTCCACCCAAGTTTTCTCCGTTGTGATGCAATTAATGATAAACATCTCAAAAAAGTCGATTTCAATTTGTCGGTGGACATATTTTGCTGAAATGATCATATTAATATATCAAGGTTGCAACCTTGAAGCGGAAGGGGTATCAATTCTTGATTTTCACTGGAACACCCTGCATTTCATTCAATGATTGGTGAGTGATCATCATAACGAATTCAACAGTAGTTTGATGGGTGTGTCAGGGAAATTTGTACTGGCGGAGCTACCGGTTTGATCAGATCTCTGCGTCAATCAATTAGTTATATCTCCATAGCTGTTTGAGAACTGACCTGTCCGAGTGGTTTAATTGCATCACAATGGAGAAAACTTGAGTGGAACATTCTGGATAGACAACCTCCGAACAAAAACCCAGGCAACCAGATGACGTTCCAGTGACGTCTTTTTTTCTTCACTTGAATGACCAAGGTGACGTCAGTAGTTGACGTCGCATGACATGATAATGACGTGAATAAGTCACAGCCCAATGACGTCATATTACCCACGTCGTATTGACGTCATTCACTCACCAAAATGTGACGTCCAACTGACGTCATAAAGATGATATGTAAAAAAGATTCCTTCTACATGGTGTGATAAACACCACTGGCCTTTGATGACATTATATAATATTGATTGTTGAGTCTGCTTGGTGGGTCCTCTCCTGTGCCATGTTCATTCAATCGCCTATTCAGCAGCGATATCCTTCAGTACGCAAATTATGTAGTTTGTGTCGGCGAGATGTAAGCAAACAAAGAATAGTTCGATAGCAATGGAAAGGATGTTGGCGAATTTGGCTTCACTTTGTTGAATTGATGTTTATGTATATTGTGTATTGATGTATATGTATATTGATGCATTATTTGTCACCCAACAAAAATCTAAAAATCAAATCATTGAAAGAATTTCTGAATGACGAAGCTCACCAAATTGGTACGTCACACCGACGTGATTTTTAGACGTCATGGATACGTCACTGCAACATCATGAGAGTACCGGTGGAGGTATACCTCAACAATCATTTGTATATATACATAGCATGTTGGTTCCCGAGATAAACAGTGTGTCAAAGTTCTTTAGAAAAAAGTTTTCTCCTTCTTTCTGGGTATTGGCTAGATTTGCTTGATCTTCTTCGATATGGTGGACTGTATTATTTGTGATATTAAATGAATGATGAATGCTTAGATAAATGCTCAAATGTGTACTTTTATCAGAATGAAAAATGCAATTAGTTGTCAACAATTTTTATATATGAATGTCAAGTCTTATACATAACAACGTACATAGCAACGAACAAAAATAATGATATACAGCTACTATTCAAATATGGTTCTCGGGCGAGCGAATAGTATTCAACCACATACAGGGTATCAATTCAATATACAGAATACCCACAATTTTGTTCTAAAATTTGTTCTATCAGTCATTCGGTTGCCCCCTTACGAGCAACCCTCAAAAGTCTTCGAAAGTCTTGTGCGAGCAAGGAATGACGGGGGCCTTACCTTTCAACGTGTGATCCCAAACACTTTCTTGGGACATCAGAAAAATTTCTGCAGTCGACGGGGATCGAACCCACGACCGGCAAGCGAATGCGAATTAGAATATAGACACTCTGTCCGCACGGCTACCTGGCCACCCAATTGTCCAGGTATATTAATAATTCCAATAAAACTTGCATGTTGATTTGCTTTCATGAGTCATACTTCTGTTTCACATGATAATTTATAAGTATCTATGGTTAAGAGGAGGTCTGGCAAAACTGGCAACGCTGTACGAGAGTAAAATGTCCGCTAAAATGCTCTGTGGAAAATGTCAAAAAAACTTGGGAAAATCAGCATATAAAATCGGATGTGCAGGTGAATGTAAACAGTGGTTTCACCGCGAGTGCAGTGGTGTTTCAGTCTCCGAAATCGATGACCTCACAAAGGGAAAAACCTAGTTCAAGTGCATACAGTGCAAAGGTTCGCCTAATGATGATGGTGATGCAGCTTTTTTTGATGCCATCGAGAACATTAGCATCGATAAAAAGGTTGATATCCATGTTTTTAATTATATCGTGAAACAAAAGGATATAATGATCAACGATCTGAGAAATCAAATTGACATATTAAACAATCAAATCGTACTTCTGAACGAAAGAAACAACGATATGATGCGCCATTCAACCGGGCCATCAGATAAAAAACCTCGCGACGACAAAAAGCCTCGCGAAGATAAAAACAACCTGATCCAGATTAAGGCAACGCTACCAGACAGTGTTGCCAAGTCACCGAACTTTCAGGAAATCTCGGGCAAGCTAGTCGCAAATGCAATCGCACACGCAGAAACACAGGAAAAATGCCACAAATACATAACCTTAAATGGTACTACTGAAAGTCATGACGTAACAACCGAGGCACCCATAAACGTGGAAAATCATCCGCCATGGCAAACAGTGATTAGAAAACGTCCTAATAAAAGCAGACAAGTCATAACAGGAAACAATACGACCAATTCTTCCGTAAAAGGAGTACCAAAACTGGCCTCCCTCCATGTATACCGTATTGATAAGAAGTCAACAGCAGAATCCCTAAAACTTCTGCTCAAAGATCATTTTCCAGAAGTAGTCTGTGAATCCATCACTCTCAAATACCCTGACCTCTACACATCATACAAAGTAAGAATACTGGAATCTAACTTCCGTAGAGCAATGGATCCTGCTATATGGCCATATGGAGCATGTGTAAGCCGTTTTTTAGAGATGAGGAAGCCAAGACCACATCCGAGCTAGGATTTGATCCTGACATTCTTCTCCTCAATATCCAGTGCTTAAATGAAAAGAAACTGAACAATCTGACTATTGATCTAGCCGAGTTCAACATTAACTTTATCTGTTTAACAGAAACATGGTGTAAATCAGAATATATCGACTCCTATCACATAAACAATTTTTCTCTGAGTAGTTATTACTGTAGAACCCAAATGAAAGGAGGCGGGGTCGCTATCTTCGCCAATAATAAATTGCAAATATCTCCTCTAGACTTAAGTAAGTATAACCATGACCAACATATCGAAATATGTGCATCTTGCTGCAAAATAAACAGTACCAAACTTATTATCCTTTGCTGCTATAGATCTCCTTCAGGGAACCTGAATCTATTCTTAGATACAATATATGACATATTTGATGATCTTTTCGATCACAATGCGAACTTTTTGCTTTGTGGTGACATCAACATTGACTCACTCTCCTGCTCTAATGAGTTTAAAAAACTATGCTGCATTTTAGAACCATTTAATATGAAACCCATGAATAAGTGGCCGACCAGAGTCACGTCCAAAACAATATCTTGCATAGATCATATATTTTCCAATTTCTCTGACAATGGAATTGAATGTACAATGGACAATAACATTTCAGATCATAGAAGTATATTCTTTGACACTGGTAACGCTGCCGATATAAATCATAAACCAATAGATGAACTAAGAAGATTCTACAGTAATATTTCAATTCAAGCTTTCCATGAGGATCTTGAGAATGAGGTATGGCAAGAGATTTTTTATGTAAGTGACTCTAACAAGGCCTGTGAATGTTTCCTACAAATCCTCCTGTATTATTTCAATAAACATTTTCCCAAAAGGAAAGTATATTCACCTAGGAATCCTAAAAAAAAGTGGGTCAATGATGAAGTCAGAACCTCCAGTGCGAAACTGAGAGACTTATATAGCTTAAAAATAACATATCCTGGTCTCAAAGATCTATACAAGGTGCGTAAATCGATGCATGATAAGTTGGTTCTCAATACAAAAAAGAACTATTTTCAAAACAAAATGAGTAACTCTGATAATCCATCCAAAACAGCCTGGCAAATAATTAACGATATGACAAACAAAACGAAAAAAACAAATGAAATAAATCTTCAATATAACGATCGACTAATAGAAAACACAAATGAAATTTCCAACATTTTCAGCGAATTCTTTCACAACGCCCCCTTAGAAACAATAAACAAAATAAACAATAAGTCCGGTAAATACTTCTTGCAGAATATAGATCAGGTCAAAGATTCTATATTCTTGACTCCCTTCACTGAACTAGAATTATTGGAGCTGCTTAAATCCAAACTGAATAATAAATACTCTTCCGGTTATGACGAAATACCCACTTTCATCCTGAGAAGGGTGTTAGATTCGATAGTGAAACCAGTCACATATCTCATTAACCAATCCTTCGTATCGGGGATCTTTCCAGATTGCTTGAAAATTGGAAAAATATCTCCTATATATAAAAAGGGTGAGCATCACCTAATGGAAAATTACAGGCCTGTTGTAGTACCACCGGGACTTTCTAAGCTCTTTGAATATGCCTTCCTTCACAGACTTCTTAGTTTCATAAGAACGAATGAAATTATATCTGATAATCAGCATGGTTTTACTCAGAATAAATCAACATCCTCAGCAATTCAATCATACTACTCGGAAATAGCAAACTATGTAGACGTAGGCGAGTGCCCTGTAGGAATTTTTATAGACCTGAGCAGGGCATTCGACTGCGTAAATCATGAAATTCTTG